AAATTTTAATAATAAGCACGAATATGTACCAAGATATATTATGTTTAGCTGTAAGACTGCGACGCTATTTTATCTCCAAAATAGCTAAGCAGCGCGATCTCTTTGGAAAAAATTCAACATTCTCAAAAAAATTCTAAAACCACAATAATTCTAAAACCTGAATAATAATATATTTAATTTAATACCTAGCTATGTTATAGAAAGAATCGAACTTCAACGCTCACGTACCAAAATATCAACATAAAGTTTCCAACAGTGATCACCGGCTATTATGCATAAGTCTTTTAAATTAAATGCTTGGAAACTATTATAAGCATGGGACAAAGTATGAGAATTTTCCAATCCCAATTCTTCGCCTCCTCCACCTTCAAATTCAGGTGTTGAATTTGCAGAACTTCATAGAAAATGACAAACGTGTTAAGTTTTAAGCAAAATATATAATATTATACGTTTTCTATTACAAAAATATTTACGTCGTGCTAAAAAGTCTCGATGTCGCAGTATTTTCGTATCGATTTCGTGGGTAGGGTTAAGAATATAACGAGGAAGAAAAAAACATGAAAAATTTATCGCGGTTTTCGTGTGAGTGAACTTGACTGACTAACTCATTCATTTGCCCGATGCGATAAAACAGCTACAAATGTTAATAGCAACCCACCCAAACCAAACCAACCCCGACCTCGCCTCGTCTACGGTCTACGTTTCGCCTTTAAATTCCTTGTGGATCGTTAGGTAAATGTTAAGAGCTTTCAGAACTTGTTCGTAAAATGATTAGTCTGTTCGGAGGAGGAAACAGATTTCGATTTATTTAGTACGCCAATGATCTTGCGGTCATATCGAAAACCGAACAATGTTATGTCTGAAGCATAGCTCTCTACGGATCAGAGACATAGACTCTAAGGAAAGTCGACAAAACTATCTGAAGAGTTTTGAAATGCGGTGCTAGAGGCGGATGGACAAAATAAAGTTGTCTGACAAAATTACAAATGAGGAAGCCCTGAAAAGAGTGGGCAAAGAAAAGACTATACTGAGCACAATGCTGAGAAGAAAAGGAAACTGGATCGGATTCCTGCAAAAAGAGTGCTTCCACACAACGTCGTCGTCGAAGGCAAATAGAAGAACTGAAAGGATTGGGAAGAAGAAAAATGCAGATGGTTGATGACTGATGCGAGAAAAGGAAATACAGAGAACTGAAATCTGAAGCTCTGAACCAGGAAGCAGAAGTTTTGAAAAGGAAAATTCATAAAAACGAACATGAAGTGATAAATCGTCATTAATAATGGAAATAATAAACAAGGAAGGGGAAGAAAATCAGGGATTTTGTCATGATCTCATAATATGGAACTGCCTTCGGGCACACTACTATTATTATTATTAATATTATGCATTAGAGCAGGGCCTAAAGGTCCGCCAAAAAAAGGTCCACCAACGATATCCCAAAAACAAGTAAAGTTAAGAATTTCGTATTAACAATATTTGAAAGTAGAGGGAAAAAACGTATAACCATCCATCACCTTGATTCTAACAACGTCGCTATCAGGAAATAATCGCCTATGTTTGAAAAACCACAACAAAAGTATTGTTTTTCGTTGTTTTAAACTTCGAAACTTTTAAATATATGTTATTATTTTATGTTATTATTCAATTATTAACTTCCCGTAGGGCAAGTTATAGTAATCACAAAAAATCGAAAATGAAAATTTTTATAGATCTCTACGTTTCAAAACCTTCTGAACATTTTGGCATACCTTATAAAAAATGGATGTATGTGTGTGTGTGTGTGCGTGTATGTATGTATGTTCGGATACAAATTTTCGTCGACGATTTCGGGAACACCGATCAACCGATTTGAATAATTTAAAAAACATTCGATTCGTATTGATAAGGAGACGCGCTGATTAGTTTTTGGCAAAGGCAGGTCTAGTCCATCCGAAGATATGGGGCAAAAAGTGCAAAAATGGTAAATCATTTATTAAGAGAACGAAGCGTTCGATTTTAATAATTCAAAAAACATTTTACTTGTATTAACAAGGTGAAGAACTGATCAAATTTTCATGAAGGCAAGTCTAGCGGTTTCGCAGATCGAATGAAAAAAGTAAAAAAAAATGCCATTTTGGCGGTCAAAAATGATCATTAGACATATGCACATCAAATTACCAGATGTTTTATAGAGATTTTAACAATAAGTATAAATTTTGTTTACATTCCTATGAGTTCCGTTCCAATGTTTATCCGTTAGACGGCGACGCGGCGCTTACGCGCTTTGAGATTTCGTCTCTATGCAGTTAAAGCAGCACGATTGCTCTGAAAAAAAAGTTAAGAATTTCCAAAATATGTCAAAATGAAGGAAACATTTTTTTCATATTTTTTTTTTGCAAAAAAAAGTAATTTTTTGTTAAATTTATAGTTTCTCAAAAATCTAATTTTTTCGAAGTAATATTTTTTCAAAAATGCTAATCGTTTTTAAAAAAAATAATAATTTTGGTACGGAATGTTTCATCAATTTGCCTTAAGGCACGATGCCATGCGGCCCACTAGTTATGTATGATTGTGCTATGTCAGTTTTTATCCATATACAATATATTCTATAAATAAAATATTTTCTTCCTGCAAATAAACTGGTATTGTTTATATCTTGTGAATAAAACAATGTCGATTTTATGTTATATGGTATACTGTTGATCAAACATTCAGTGGTCATCTAAATGCTAATTCGCGCCACCAGAGACTAAACTGAAACTTGTACAATAATAACCCTTGGGTAATATTGAATATAATACTGCCGAAAGATAAATGTATACTTGTTATATATATATATATATATATATATATATATAATATACAGTTATATATATATATACCAATAAATGTACAAATGTACACCACAAGCCATGTATACGCATGATTATATAAACCCAAAAGGAAAAGCGGTTAGAAAGAGGGTCAACTTAAAACATTTTCCAACATTCTATAATTAACTTAGAACATTTTTAAATAGAGCACAACAAGTAAAAGTAAAGGAGAAGGTAAAGGTAAAGGACTCATTGAAATACAAGGAGGAAACGATAGTCCTCATTGAGATACATCAAATAGCTTTTAACTTTCTGAAATCGATTCAGGCGTTTTTGAGCAAACGGCTATGAAAGTTCTAATTTGGACAAACGCCAAAAAATCTATACTAGTTTTCGCCAACTTCGACGAATTTTTAAAATTAAACGACTTGTCGTAGGGCCGCAATATTTTAGTATGATCTATAAGACTAATCAGCACGATTCCCAACCAATATCTTTCGAACGGTTTTTGAATTTTCAAAATCGATTCAGAATTGCGGGCTAAAACGTGAACGAAAATTTTTTCACTTTTCTGCTATTCACAAGGAAGCGATTTGGCTGATCGTCGCGCAAAATTGATAAACGTCAGTCCTCATCGTGATACATCGAATGACTTTTAAATTTTTGGAATCGGTCCAGTCGTTCTCGAGAAAACGTCGATTTACGGCAAAAAATCTGTTCACATACACGCCAACACACACGCACACATACACATATACGTTTTCCAATTTTGGTCTCATTCGATTTAGAATGGCTTGAAACGTCGAGGAAACATAAAATTAGCGAATCGGATTTTTTGATGAAAACATAAACTTCGGGAAGTTAAAAAAACGGCCAAAACTTTGTTTAAAAATAATACGGCAAAAACTTTGTATAAAAATCCAAAGCTTTTTCACTCAAATCCAAGGTGTCAAAAACATACACATTTTTCCTTTCAACATTTAGAAATAAATATAAACGATTTGTCTTTAACGCTGCCGAATGAAAATTCGAAAGAATGAATTGCTATATATATATATATATATATATATATATATATGTTTTGACATGAAAAATCTATGGAAATCAGTGTGCATACGAAAATGCAACTTGTTTTTAGGAAACAGCATGCTGTAATGCAATTTTGAAATATTAGTCAATAAAATAACGTCATATATCACATCGTGCAAGAAATAAATGTTGCTATACACATATATTGTAAGTTGAATTGTGAAATTACTAAATATTTGCATAAACTAGTGGGGCGCATAGCATTGTGCCTTAAGGCAAATTGCTGGAACTTCCCATACTAAAAATTATTTTTTCCAAAAAGATTAACATTTGAAAGAATTAGATTTTTGAGAAACAATAAATTAAAAAAAAAATATTTTTGGAAAAAAAACTTTTTGAAAAAAAAATGTTTTCTTCATTTTGAAATATTTTGGAAGTTCTGAAATTTTTTTCAAAGCAATCGTACTGCTTTAACTACATAGAGACGAAATATCAAAGCGCGTAAGCGCCGCGTCGCTGTCTAACGGATAAACATTGGTACAGAACCTATAGGAATGTAAACAAAATTTATACTTATTGTTAAAATCTCTATAAAATATCTGATAATTCTATGTGTATATGTCTAATGATCATTTTTGACCGCCAAATGGCATTTTTTTTACTTTTTTCACAAGATCTCAGAAACCGCTAGACCTGCCTTCATAAAAATTTGTTCAGTTCTTCATCTTGTTAATACAAGTAAAATGTTTATTGAATTATTAAAATCGGACACTCCGTTCTCTTAAAAACTGAATTACCGTTTATGGCACTTTTTGCCCCGTACCCACGAAACGGCTAGACCTGCTTACGCCAAAAACTAATCAGCACGTCTCCTTATTAACAGCAATCGAATGTTTTTTGAATAACTACAATCGGTTGAACCGTGTTCCCGAAATCGTCGACGAAAATTTGTATCCGCACACACACACATACACACACACATACATACATTTTTTCAAAGGTATGCCAAAATGTTCAGAAACCTCTGAAACGCAAAGACATAAAAATTTTTATTTTCGATTTTTTTGCGATTACTATAACATACCCTACGGGAAGTTAATTATGATATACTTTATGTGAAAGTATGAATAATAAATTAAATAAATATATAAATAATAAAATAAACATAAATAATCCTACCTTGTATGATCCTGTCACAACCTTTTCAGTCTTCGTTTCTTTGTACGGGGTCACCAATTTATTGAATTTGTTTCCTAAGGATGAATAATTTTTTAATGTATAAAATTATAAATAATATGATCATTTTTTTTACCCCAAACCCACATCTACTGATTATGCTACATAAATAATAATGTAAATAGAAAAAGTAAATATTAGTAATGAAAAAAAAATGAACTAAATTTTTGAAGTCGAATATTTAAATGTTTAGACACCAAAATAAAGGTTGTTAGTACCAATTAGTAAAAAGTAATCAATACCCAATTAATAGACAAGAAAGTTCCTGAAAGTATATAATAGTATTATTAGAGAAAGAAGTAATTTGTATAAAAACATTGTATTTTGCACAAATATTAGATGTCACAAAGTGTATACAATCATTAGCAATAAGCCGTAAATTAATAGGCAAAAGTTAATTTCCAAACTTATACAAATCAGCAAAAAATTCAACAGAATTGACGAGCAAAATTGTATATAACTTTGTTGTGATTTTGCTACTCCATAATAAAATACCACTTTTTAAATAAATTATAGATAGTTATGTATGCCTTAAATTATTTTTATGAACCTTAAACTATAATTAACTGATAGTACTTATACATTACGATTTTGGACCGTAAAAAAATTTAATAATTATTTTTTATTACTCACTTTTTAATTTACCGTATGATAGCATTTTTTTTTTATAATAATTTAAAATCCATGGATAATGTAAAAGGCTTCTATATATATCATTATGTACAATTATGTGTTAAAGTTTTTCTAATGATCTGTAATAACTGCAAAAATGTGGACAATATTAATTAGTATAGCAATAATTTGAATTAACTGAGAAAAAAATTCGATGATGTACTTCAGAATATTTTTCATCGTATTATGATTGCATAAACATATTTTTCCAGTATTACTTCTAATATTTTAAATCTTTAATACTCGAAATATGTTCAATAGAATTTTGCACTGATTTACTATTATTTATTAAATAAGTTAAAAATTATCAGTTCGCCCAATTAAATTTCTAATTATTAAGAATGATGTTCCAAAAAATATTTGGAGTTATTTATTAATTTACGTGCGCGTTTTGGAATGCTGTGTTTTTTATATTATAATTAATATTTACATCTTACGACTAAATTTCTATATAGAGACAAACATATATTATACTAAAATTTAGTATTTTTTCATCATCGAACAGAATAGAATTAGTTATTATATATATTAAATATATAATAAATTTCTGCACTGGATCTGTTCAAATAATTTGGATGAATTCCTTTATTTTACTTATTGCTAGTTATTTAAATTATTTTTAGTGGCTCAGTTAAGAGCAGTTTAATTTTTTTTAAACAATTTAATTATGTACAATATATAAAACATAGAAAAAATAAATCATCAAATATAGAAAAAAATTCCAATTGAAAAATAAGATTTGGGTAGTTTTTATAAACTACTTAATTGCAAAAAATGAACTTTTTTAAATAACTCTTGGAACAGTTTTTGTATAAATTTGTAAAATTATGTAAAGGCCAAAAAATAGAACTTTACATTTTTTGTTAAGAAACTAAATTCATTTGTATTAATTAATATTATCCCATATTAGCTCATTTTAATTTATGAATTAAATACATTTTCTTATAAAAAAATAGCAAAAGTATGAGAACATGCACATTCAATGCCAAATTTGTAATTAATCACCAAATGAAATGTTACATAAAATGAAACCATCTGGTGGTGAAACGGAGTTCGCCCGGTTTGCTAGTTTATAATAAATTCTCAGTGAGAATGAAAATTCTTCAAAGTATTTTTTTACAAATAATGTTTTGGCCAATATAGGTTAATAAAAATTCCACAAAAAATCCCTTTCATAATACAAATTATACCTATTATTAAAGTATTTAGAAAAATACAATAATTATAGTATACATTTTATTAAGCCCCATAAAGATAAAGCAAGTTTTATTGAAAATATATCTATACATGACTAATTGTATAGATTTTAAGTATTAGTTTATTAATAAGTTAAATACATCTTAGTTAATAAAACATTCAACAGACCCATACAATGACCCAACACCATGAAACATTAACACAGAAATATTAATACATCAGTTTAAATTGCATTTAAATTTTATTCCATTAATAGAACAAATAATAAACCAGACGCAATTTATTTTTAACTCAATTTAAGCCAAGTTTAATATATGTACAAGTACTAATTATACGTGTATACTACAAATTTTTACCAGTAGTATTTTTACCATTTCTACTCTATTAATGGAATAATTTTTACACCTCCACCTCCGAGACATAACAGAAAATAATTTTCTCAATTTTTTCGTAAGACTTACGATTTAAATGAACACTAAGTTTCGAATATTCCACATCGTCTGTCTTGTTCAGAAATATAAAATTGCTGTCGTCGCACTTAACAAAAATGAATTGAAAATAATTATATTGGAGGCTGCCGACGTGCTGGACATTAAAAGGAGATCTTCCATGGGTTCACTTCCACGTGTGTAGAATTGGTAGATGTCACTTGCCTGGAAAGGTAAATAGTAATTTAGATTAAAAATTCAGTAATAATATATTACAGAAAATTACACTAGTTTTCTTCTCTATTTTGAATTAGAAGCTATGTTGTGCTATTTGAAGACATTCTGTAAATGTTTTGGTACGACCTAGTAACTCAATAAAAGACCTAACTAGTGGGGCACATGGCATTGTGCCTTAAGGCAAATAGCTGGAACTTCCCGTACCAAAACTTTTTTTTTTAAAAAGATTAACATTTTTGAAAAAACCCTGGAAACATTAGATTTTTGAGTAACTATAAATTTTCGACAAAAATTCACTTTTTTTTAAAAAAAAAACTTTCTGAAGAAAAATTTATTTCGAAATATTTTGGAAATTCTGAACTTTTTTTCAAAGCAATCGTACTACTTTAACTGCATAGAGATGAAATATCGAAGCGTGTAAGCGCCGCGTCGCCGTCTAACGTATAAACATTGGTACGGAACCCATAGAAATGTAAACAAAATTTATACTTATTGTTAAAATCTCTATAAAATATCTGATAATTTGATGTGCATATGTCTAATGATCATTTTTGACCGCCAAATGGCATTTTTTTCCTTTTTTTACTAGAAACTGCTAGACCTGCCTTCATAAAAATTTGGTCAGTTTTTCATCTTGTTAATACAAGTAAAATGTTTTTTGAGTTATTGAAATTGGACGCTGGGTTCTCCTAAAAACTGAGTTACCGTTTTTTTTGCCCCGTATCTTTAGAACGGCTAGTCATGCCTTCGCCAGAAACTAATCAGCAGGTCTCCTTATCAATACGAATCGAATGTTTTTTGAATTATTCAAATTCGTTGCTCCGTGTTCCCAAAATCGTCGACAAAAATTTGTATCCGCACACACACATACACAAACGCACAAACATACATCCTTTCTAAGGTATGCCAAAATGTTCAGAAACTTTTAAAACAAAGATATGTTGAAATTTACATTTTTGATTCTTTTGCGATTACTATAACTTACCCTACGCAAATTTAATAATGCAATAGCAGTAGATTTTAAAATGAATGCTAAGCGAAGAGCAATGTTAATGTAAGTTCTGAAGAAGATATTAAAAAAAATAATGTAAAGTCATAAACTACATTCAAATTTAATTAAATTTATTTTTCATATCATTTTTAAAACAAGCAAGTATCATATCCTAGCAATGTGCATCGTTTATTTGCCTTCAAATTTGCTCGCAGTGCATGTTTCTCTAACGCTAATGAGCGCATACATAAGTTTTCTTTAATTCGCCGAGACGAATGCTGCTTATAATTCTTAAAGCAAACTTTCTTTGAATTTCCCAAGAGGAAAATCTTTAATACTAATTCCACTCATCTGCTAGTTGCTCATATCATATGCGATGTGGAAATTCGCAATTTTACCATTTCGAGTTAACATACAGATTCGCATTACAAACTTCTGATGCTGCTTGAGATGTGCACATAGTAAATATTGCAATGCAGTTAGGCAAATAAGGGAAATTCATACATTTTACATAAATTTATATATATATATATATATATATATATATATATAATTGTTCATATATATCAGAATGAAGTATAATAGTATAAATATTATGTCAAGATATGCAGTAAACTCTTCAAAAATATTTGGAAGTAGTTATAGTACCTCAGCCAAAAATGAAACATCAGAAAATATAGAAGCTCCCACCCTAACAAATAATAGAGTATATGAAAATAAAATAATTTTTTTAAAAACTTTCATGAATTTTAAAATTTTGAGGCATCTGCAAAGTATTCAATGAAGTCAAAATTTTTAAAAAACACAATTTTTAGAATCTTAAAAACTTAATTCTACCAAAAACTTTCAAAAAATGCTTCCTAAATTTCCTTTCGTCTTCAAATATTTATCAAAATTTATAAGTTTCTCTGGAAGTCTATAAATTTCTGATTGGGCATAGAAATTTTACATCATTCTGTTAATAATTTAGAGTTTTATACCAATTCAATAAATCACAATTGTTAAATTTCTTACAATTGTATAAAGTTTATAATATTATTAGAAGTTCAAATTTAAAAAATTAAAATTTTCAACTTTTTTGAACAAAAATGTCCACAGAAATCTTTAGATATTTAAAATATTAAAAGATTCATTATCTCAATTTTAAATTATGTATATATTATTAACCCCATAAGGTAAGTTATTATAATCGTCCAGAAATCGAAAATGAAAATTTTTGCATAATTTTACGTTTCAGTGGTTTCTGTATGAAATATATAAAATTTCTATATTCATTTTAAATATATTTAATTGTAAATGAGTAGCTATATAATCTATTAAGTTATTAAATATGATAGAACTTACTAATCAAGCAAATTATTACAATACACCATTTATAAATCCATTAACTAAAGGTTAAAACCTTTACCAATTATTATTTAGTCGCAATTAGAACTTCAGTAAAGTACATCATCTAAATAATTTGTATTACTCAGAACGTTTTATCCAATAAACATTAAGAAAAGGATCCTATTAACGAATTATCGAACATTTCACCCAGAGGGATTCATACATAAAACAGACTTTCAATTTACTTAATCTATAAGCCGGTTACAACGACCGTCTCGAACGAAATTATTCAAACTGGATATCGATCGATTCGGAAAGAAATAATCAAATTTCAGAAAATTAACTTTACATATATACAAGGGCGAAAATGTAAATTCCACATGTTCACACACAACATATAACAAGAGTTGAGAATGGGAAAAAGTGTTTTTGACACTTTACTACAAGAGAATATGTATTCGGTTTGGTAAATGGTGCTTTGTACATGACATTCAGATGTAATAACATACGAAATTTTTTACATATGTTTCTAAAATTTTGTTTACATTCAACAACAATATTTATCTAAATACTTTGTATGTTAATTAACCAATAAAATATATTGTTCACCTAAGTAATGCTCACTAATAAGCCTCAAGCGCAAAAAGAATCCACTATCTATATTAGTAAGAATGCAGCACCTCTCCTTTTCTTCCCAAAGAAAATCTTTACGACTTTTTTGTAGTTTCTGAAGATTTATAAATGACTAGTTTTGCATTGATTTCTTAAGAAAATTCTCACGCTTTGAAGTTTTCTGAAGGTTGGTATATCTCAGTAAAATTAATGTGTGTGTGTGTGCGGATACAAATTTTCGTCGACGACTTCGGGAACACGGTTCCATCGATTTTAATTATTCAAAAAACATTCGATTGCTGTTGATAAGGAGACGTGCTAATTATTTTTTGGCATAGGCAGGTCTAGCCATTTCGAAGATACGGAGCAAAAAGTGCCACAAACGGTAACTCAGTTTTTAAGAGAACGGAGTATCCGATTTTAATAATTCAAATATTTTACTTGTATGGACAAGATGAACAACTGATTGAATTTTTATAAAGGCAGGTTTAGTGGTTTCGGAGATCTAGTGAAAAAAGTAAAAAAAAAAAGCCATTTGGCGGTAAAAAATGATCATTAAACATATGCACATCAAATTATTAGATAATTCATAGAGATTTTAACAATAAGTATAAATTTTGTTTACATTCCCATGGGTTCCGTACCAATGTTTATCCGTTAGACGCGGCGCTTACGCCCTTCGATATTTCGTCTCTATGCAGTTAAAGCATAGCATAGCTGCTTTTTCAACCTAAAATTAATGATAAAATAAAAGCAGAAATTATTTCCCTAATATTTTCAAATTTCCCATCGCCGTCTGCATCTGATAGGCAAGTATCCGTGGTAAAAAGCACGTTACTTTGCGAGTGACAAGGTTAAGCTCTCGCAATTTATTAAACGAATATTCCTTAACATTTTATCCAACAAAAGGTTACAAGATAAAAAAGGGTCTCTTCTCATAAAATTACAATCCCATGAAATTAAATATACATACGAAATACCTCCAGGATTATAAAGGATGCGTATCTGACATTCAAAATGAAAATGTAAAATGTAGGACGATCGCTGAACCGTTTAGAGGATCGCTGAACCTCCGAAAAATCTAAAAACGAGTTTTTAATTATTTGATGAAATCTGCACGAGGATAACGGTTTTATAAATGGATACACATTTGCATAGTAATTATTAATGCAATTTTTGTAACATTTACCTCGTTCCATCCATGCCTATTCCTGGCTTGAACCACAGCCTCGTACACTGCACCAGGTGAAAGGTTCCTTATAATGTGTGCCATTACATGGTCACCAGACAAAGAATCAGGAGCCATGGATTGCAGTCTGATATCACGCCAACGTCCAGGCTGCTGGTAGCTTTCATTCATCTAAAAAAAAACAAGAATTAGATTATTGTATTAAGTCCAAAATTATTAGGCAACTTTTCAATAATACATTAGTCTGTGATTAGGTACTACTGGTTTAGTAAACAAATAAAAGTTCACGTATATTTCCCAATTTATATCACGTACCAGGAAGTAAATAATGCTAACATATTTATATTTCATATATATCTCTCATCGCCTCGTCGCAAACCTTATATGATGTAGTAGGACTCGTATTAATGGTATAAGAAATTAGAACTTGGTGGAGCAAGGAAGCCAAACTTGCGGCCTAGGGGAAAAATAATCAGGAAAATAATTATCTCGAATCTAGAGGAATTAAATTTTAATATGGTTAGTTGTGATCCAATACTATGGACCTCCATTTTTATTTTGAGGATTCCTAGATTTTGTATCGACTGAAGTGGACTCCTGAAAATTGCTATGAACCCCTTGAAAGTTGCTATGGACTCTTGGGAGTCTACATGAACCATTTCTGGAAATCACGGATCTAGGTGAATATTAAGTGTTTGTCATGCCATTCTGGATAATTTTAAACCTAATACCATGGCACGTTTATCATATTTTCAAATAAGCACTGGGCCTATTTTCGGTTGAGATAGCTATGTGGCAATCAGACTCCCTTAGTCACATAACTTGGTGCAAAAGAATACTCTCTTTGATTCGATGTTGAAGATTTGGTTTTCGGTGCATCTATTCTATTTTCACAAGTCAATGGTTTAAAACTAACCTCCAAATATCACAAATAATAAAATGGCATTGGTTCGACTTTTGGAATATTTTATTTATAAGTGAAACCACTTCAGTGCCTATTATTTTGAACTGCTTACTGTTACCTCCATATTGTCATGTAAGATAAAATAGGTGACCAAAAATAGATATTACAATTTTACTAACATTTTACCAAAATAAGTGTGACCATAGATAAACAAGTAGAATGAGTGTGACCTTGCAGTAAAATGTGCATCCACGAATTATATCACCAACTTCAGAAGTGTATCAGAAAGTCTAAAATCCTGGACCCCATGATAGAATTTTAGCAATTGATCGATATTTCCCCATATCGGCTCTAAATATCATTTACCATTACCACATTTGCAATTCCTCTACCCCGGAATAAAGGAAAAGCTCAGAATTAGTTTGAACAGAAATATCGTATATCCATCATCTGCCTTTGGGAGGGTTTTATCATCTTTGTACTTTTATTAATGAAACCGCCAGATAATTGGATGAACTCCGAAAATCGCTTATTCCGAATAATGCGCGGAAAAGTAATGAAACATTAATAGACAGGGGATGTATTAATGTATTAAGGACTATACGGAAAAATCATATGTTTTGTAGGTATTGATTTTCAGGGCGAAACTAATTTTTTGGAGATAATAGGTTTTTAGGTGATATTCAGACGTGAGATGAATCGGGACATAGCACATATTTGGATGACATTAAATTTATAATAAATACTGTATTCTAAATAATTGTTTTCATAAAATTTATGGCCAAAAATTGGTATGGACAAAGTATTACCATTATGTATAATTATTATAATTATCACTTACCATCAATTTTCTGTACATAAGTCGAACTTCTTCCAGGGGTGGCCAACTTTGTACGGCCCATGTTAAATTGTAAGAGTCTCTGGAGCGTCCATAAACCGGAGAAAGAAAATTAGCCGGACCTGGTTTTCCGGATAATTCTATGTACTTTTTCGCTCTTCCTAGAGAATTGTCGGCTATGCAACTGAAAGGGAAATGGAAAATCAATTAAATGAAAAATAGTACCAAATATTATTTCTAATAGTGATAATTATGGATTTTAAAGATGGAGAAATTATTAATCAGAATTTATATATATATATATATATATATATATATTTATATAATTTTCATTACTCTGTGTTTTAAATTTATTTAAGTGCATTCTAGGCATTTTCAAGTTGAAGCTTTTATCTTCGCTCTTCGAACAAGATAAATTGCATCGTTAGTTACAAAGCTTTACAGAATAGATTGCAGATATATTTAATGGGTGCTTTGAGTAATAAAATTGACTATTATTACCAAAATACAAAAATTTTGTGATCGACTTTGTATCCCCATTTTTATTTTGCTATAATATTGTTTATAGATAGAAGAAAAACTTGATACACAATATAAATATATATGAATTTATGATTGAAACCCTCAAGATTTTTATGTTTAACGAGAATGATTGCAAAGCATACAATTTAATAAATATTCATAGATATTTTATACTAAATTTTTATAAGGTAACAAATCATTATGATTAATAAATGCAAATAAAATTGTACAGGAGATCATGAAAAGTCCTAATAAGGCACTAATTTAAATTAATTTGATAAAAACTATACTTAACATATATACATACTCCTGAGCCATTTAATAAAACTAAAATACTTTAATTATTAATGCAATTCTAGAAACTGATCACGATATATATAATGCATGAATATTGAATACGAAAGATTTTATTACTAAATTTTCAATTACTATAAATAACAAAATCCATAGTTCCAGTGTACTTGTGATAAAATTATTAATATATGTCAGTACTGCAAAAATTATATTAATATTCTTATAAATCTGAATATTATCTGAATTATTTTTAACCATAAAATATACAAGATGAGAAACATATCAGGTTGAACACTATATCAGTAGAACCCCATTGTAACTAAAGTTTAAAAAGATAAAGTTTCTTGTTAAAACTTTGAAGAAACTTTAAGGCTCGTATATTTATATACATATATACATACATATATATATATATATATATATATATATATATATATAATAAAATTTCTTTAATATAGATGTACATCATTGAGAGTATTTTTACGAACAAAAACTCACCTGTAATTACCGAAGTCTCCGACTTGAACATTTTTTATAATCAAAGAATGTTTCTCTCCGCGGAAATCCATTAATTTTCTATCGGATTGCTGAATGGGAAACGAGTCTTGATACCAAGTTATCTGCAAAGGCAAAAATAGAACCATTGAACGTATAAAATAAATGAAGTGATCAGAATTTATAAGTAGATTTCTTTAATACGTATGTGGGTCACATATCCAGGAGAATAATTAGAACTTATAGGTTTTATATATTATAAAAGATACTAGATAAGATATATAATTGTGAAATAATTCTGATCTGCAGATATTTCAAATACCTAAAATTTTTCCAGAAGTTACAAGCTTCTGTTGAAATAAAATTTTCGACAGTTTCACTAAAAACTTCCTTTTTTATCATTTAAAGCAGATGAGAGCTTCAACCAAAAAGTAGGTGAATTGCGATTTAGCAAAAAATATGTGCAATGTTAGCGAATATAGCATGACCCACCAAATTTGATCAAGAAATATCTTCTAATTTTTTTTAAAAAAAATTGAGGTGTTGAAAATTATACAGTAAATTCACTGAGAAGTTAAAAAGCTGCAGCTTAAAGAATGTATTTCAAATACTAGTTATTCACGAGAAACATTTAAAAAAGTGATGGTCATAGAAATAGATATCTAATAATCGTGACAATTGCTAATTTGCAGTGACAATACCCATCAAACCCGAATACATTGCTTTTATCATATTACAAAAACAAAACCAAAAAATCTTATAAACCTTCACTCTGAACTCTACCATATAAATACTGACAGCTGTATTATTTCCATACTCAGCTCTACGGAAAATGCACGCAAAAAATCACCAAAACAAAACTTCGTTTTTGAATCGGACGGAACTGTTGAATAATCCCACATATGACATTTTCCAAACAAATAAATCAACAAATCTAATTTTTCTCGATTCGGTTCGGCCACGGAGCGCTAATGAACTTTAGTGAAGCGAAAAAAACTGTACATGTCACTGGAAAGCATACATAAAGAGGGAAATGATTGAAAAATTCAGTTTTTCCCGCCATTGATTAGTTGATTCACAAAAATCAAACATCAACATAATATATCAGCCACAAATTTAATTAAGAATTTCCAAAAATTGCTCCAATGCTGCTATCGACAAAACTGTCCATTTTAAATATATCTGAACTTAATCTATGAAAGCTTAACCAAACTGGATATAAGTTTATAATATTACACAAGTTTTGTATTGGACCACTAACAACACTGTCCAGAGCAGAAGTCAATGATACTAACTTTGCTAAGAGGTCGAAACTATTCGCCACAGTGAAATATCACAACAGTTTACGTTCTAATATGTCTAAACTGCACAAATTACGATAAATACTATACTGCTGCTATAAACTATATAATAGTATATACATTGCTAATGTTTAGTACATATTTGATGAAATTCATTGGAAAATTTTAAGGCCGCCAGAAATACTAAGCTTTAGAAGTTATGGACCTGGTTCTAAATGATAAACCTAGTTTTCTAAATTTTAGTCGTAGTTTTAAATTTTAGTCATAGTTTTAAATTTTAGTCATAGTTTTATATTTTAGTCATAGTTTTAAATTTTAGTCATAGTTTTAAATTTTAGTCATAGTTTTAAATTTTAGTCATAGTTTTAAATTTTAGTCATAGTTCTAAACTTTAGACCTGGTTCTAAACTTTAGACCTGGTTCTAAACTTTAGACCTGGTTCTAAACTTCAGACCTGGTTCTGAACTTTAGACCTGAATCTAAACTTTAGACCTGGTTCTAAACTTTAGACCTGGTTCTAAACTTTAGACCTGGTTCTAAACTTTAGACCTAGTTATAAACTTTAGACCTGGTTCTAAACTTTAGACTTACTCCTAAACTTTAGACTTGGTTCTAAACTAAAAATTAAAAATAATGTGACAAAAAAAGTTTAGTATATTTTAAATATTAACATTAGAATATGATTATAAGGTTTAATCAATTGTTTCATTAATAAACTGTTAGATTTCTTAATAGTATTAAATTTTGCAATAATCACTTACACATTATAATGTTTAAAATTAAATCTATATGCTTCTAAAAAAATCCATATTTCATATATATCATAATCTCACATGATACCACTTTTAGTATTATTTTGTTTACTATACATAAACTTTTTGTAATATATATATATATATATATATATATATATATATATATATGTGTAATTAATTTTGTATATATATAAGTAAGTGATTATTACAAAAAGTTTATGTGTAGTATAAAAAATAATACTAAAAGTAGTATAATGTGAGATTATGATATATGAATTATGAATTTTTTAAGAGGCATTATAAACAAAATTTGATAGTTTACTATATTATAATAAATAAATAAAAAAATATAGTACATGTCGTCAGATTAGATGTAAAATTTCCAAATTAACTTTAATTATAATAATGTACTTTAAATTCTCTTATTATAATATTTGCAGATATATAATATCCATAAAAATTTTAGTAGTTTCGTAATTGTTAGTTATTTATGTGTCCCTAAAACGAAAAATTCCCAATGATCTCATAAATAGCCATTTGTAAACACTAACATTAATATTTTTATTATTATTATTATTATTCTGTTATTATTTCTAATATTGTTATTTTGTTATATTTATTATTATCTGTCACTTATTATTTTTACTCCACTTTATTGTTTTTCTAGTATTATTATTATTATTCAGAAATTTTATTTTATTTATTATTATTATTTGCTTTTATTTTATACTAAATCATCATACTACGGATATCATTTTAACGTAAATATTATATCCTTTATTTTGTACTCTTTTTTGTTTAAATTTATGTTATTGTTCATTATTATTACTAGATGTTAATTTAACAGTTGTAATAAATATTGTAACTAAAAAAAAAACTTAGTGTCCCATCTCAATTCGGTACGGTAGATGTCGCAGTAACCTGAAATCACCCCTAGGTCTAGGTTAAGCGTCATGCAGCGTGCCGCTTACGTATGGTACACCGACATTTGATAAAAATAATAAATAATAAAAAACTGTTGTTTTAATTCGAGGAGTTAGACGTGGTAGGCAAAAACTGTGTTGAAAATATCATGGACATTAGTCTTTGAAAAAAATTGGACTCGGTTCTAAATTTTGGACTTGTTTTTTTGCCCCAAGGCAAATTGCTAAAATAATCAATAATCAAAAAACAGACCAATGATAGAAATACAATTAATTTCAAATTTGAGTTTGCTAAAGCAAGCCTAGCATGTTGAATCATTCGAAAGCTGTTTTCTAAAAATAATTTATCAAATATATTTTATAATTTTATTTCACTGATTTATCCTATCAATTTCTGTAAAATTCAACCAACAATGATCACAAACCGCCTCGTGCAAAATTTGAAATTCGAATCGATTTTCCTCCGGATATGATATGCCGGATGCCGGAAAGGAATGAAGCGCTGCGACGATAGATTCAATAATTCCGGCAACGAGATGAGTAATCAAGATAAATAGTCCATTATGCGAAAAATACTCAGACACTTTCAGCCCCTGATTACAAGACCAAAAATGGCAACATTTAGACTTTAAAAGAAGAGCCTGTCAAACTTTTTAGGTAATGGATATAATTTTAAATAATTGTAATAATAAAATGCATTTTCCACTCTTTATCTTCATTACAAGTTTTAGCATACACTTCGTTAAAAAATTTGGTAATCAGGTAAAAGACACAAATTTTAATTATTAACTTCCCGTAGGGTAAGTTATTGTAATCGTCCAATGATCGAAATTGAAAACTTTTTGAAAGTTTCTGAACATTTTGGCATACCTCAGATAAAATTAATATGTGTGTGTCTGTGTGTATGTATGTATGGATACAATTTTTCAGTCACGTTTTTGGGCGCACGGATCAACTGATTTGAATGGTTCAAAAAAAATTCGATTGTTATTGATAAGGAGATGTGCTGATCAGTTTCTGGCAAAGGCAGGTCCAGCAGTTACGGAGATAAAGAGCAAAAAGTGCAGAAAATAGAAATCGAGTTTTTGAGAGAACGGAGCATCCGATTTGAATGATCTAAAAAATATTCAATTAGTAATGATTGGGAGAAGTGGTTATTAGTTTTGGCAAAGGAAGGCCCAGCCATTTCGAAGATACATAGCTAAATGTGCAAAAAATGGCAGTTCCAGCAATTTGCCTTAAGGCACGATGCCATACACCCCACTAGTTTTAGTTTAATTTATGAGAGTTATTCATAACTGTATACTTAATTAGTGGAGAAGCTAATAATAGGCAGTTGCTTAGGTATATTCTATTGACTTTTTTCCTTATTGCGTAGATAAAATTAGTAGTAATTAATGAACATTTCCATAACTAGTATCATTATTGTTCGTAATGATATTATTCAATAACACACAAATATTTCATTTTTGAAACCACTGATTGGTGATGCCCAAGAAGATTCTATGACGATAGTCTTCCTTGGAGCTTATTGATTACCAAAGTGGCTATGTTGAAAATAATGAGATTTTTTAACAGATTGGCTCACTAGTTCAATATTTTTTAATTAAATATTTTTATTATCACAGTCTACAGTTGAAAAATAATTTTGCTAAAAAATGAGTTTTGAGTCCCACCCTTCTTCAGTGGATAAAAAACTACGTGAAATACTATTATATACATATACACTAGAATGTTATTTTTGACCATCAAACTATGAAGAACTAGTGATAAAAGTTATCATTATAAGTTTATTTGCTCAATTTTCATGTTCTTTGACCTTTACTTCATCATACCTGATGATTTTCGTAGAACAAACGATTTGGGTAAACGAATATGGTAAATTACTATTTCATTCATAAAATCATTTGTTTGCTAACAATCTATTTTTGGATTATTTGCTTCAACTTTTTCTGTCGATATTGTAAACAAGTATCAAAAAGTCATTAATTGCTCGATTCTGACCTTTTAATGCATTTTAAGCAATATGCAATAGATATAACTTAGTCAATATAAACAATTTTATTGAAAAAAATTTTGTACTTTTATTAACTTTATGGTCTAGTTTATTTTAAATTTTTGGTTGTCTTACCAATGGACTCTCAAATGAACGACTAAAAAAAATCCTTTATTACTATTTCAATCATCATTTTTTTTTGTTTTCTAACAATCTATTTTCGTATTATTTGTTTCCCCTCCCTAAATGCTGCTAATGCTAAAATAATGAACTTATTTTCCGACCTCATATTTTGTTTTCTTCTTTGAGAGAAACTGACAAGTGGATGAGGTAAACCGACTAAACAAGCGTCGAAAACTTTGAGAGAATTTTCCAAGAGCAATATGAACGGGAAAGTGTTTTGGAAAACTTAAATCGCGTATTATGTAATGCATAATGGAAGTATATTAAACTTACACGTGAGGAGAGAGAGAACAGTTAATGTAATTATAGTAATTGCAAGGCATTTGCTGTAAACACTGCCGAAATAGAATTAGGAGTAACTTATTATAAGGTAAGTTACATGAACTTCCTGGTATAAGCAAGTAATCGACTTAATCAATAAGGATTGAGATTTAGCAACTATTCAAATTATGTCAATAAAATTTTCATTTGTTTATTTTCGTAATATTTTTTTTTGCTTTTCATTAAAAACTAATCAATACAATTTATAATAGATATTTTTAAAACTTTATATTATCAATAATTTTATTAATTAGTAATATGTAGAATAGTGTGAAAGATTTCCCATTGCTATTTCACAATTTGATCTATTTTTTAAAGTAAAAATTGATATCACTACTGCATGATATCAAATTTATATTATCATTAATTTTATTAATTAGTAATATGTACAATAGTATGATAGATTTCCCATTGCTATTTCACAATTTGAACTATATTTTCAAGTAAAACTTGATATCACTACTGCATGATATCAGGTTATCAAGGTTCAAACTAACGATAACGTCCACACAAGGCAATGCTTTTAACCGTTACGTCATGGAAACCTTTGTATTATTTAAATTTAATTTAAATACTACATTTTATTTAAATTTGGGTTCTAAAAATGTATTTTATTTAAATGTAAGCGTGTATACCAACGGTAATCAATATCAAGCACACAACAAAATATACATGGTGTATTTTTTGAAAGTGTAGACCACTATTCTACAACTTCAATTTGTAATTTTTGATATTAAATCACTTTTCGTAAGCCTATGATATTTTAAAATGCTCGTTAAAATCATCAATTCTGTGGTTGTATTGAAACTGTCTATATTTTTTTTAACAATTAATACAAAGAAACGACCCGGCTGCTCTTTATCAAAAAACTAATAAGCACGATTTCCTATTGGTATCTTTAAAGCTTGGGCTTTACAAACGAATATAAAAATGAAGAAACATTACAGAAAAATATCTATAACAAAAACATTTAATTTAATTACCCAACATTTATGTTTTCCCTCAATAAATCTTTCCCATTTTCAAATAGAACAATATTATTTCGATTACCTTATCAGTTTAATGTGCGTTAAGCCGTTAAGAAAAGCAACATTTTAGCTGCCGAGATTAGAAAATGCGGAAAATAAGCCAATAAAGAAAATAGATAAATCAAGTTATTATCTAAAAAAATCTAAAGAAGGCAATTTGAGGTCGCTATCCATCGTCCCCGTTGATAACGAAAATTAAAAAAATCCATTAGAACCGAGTCAAGTGTATTCAACGTAATTCTATTTTTTTTGGCTCCAACGTGATTTATTAGAATACAGAATATTCAAGTGGAAAATCACAAATAAAAAGTATAATGGAATCAGGTAAATGAAAATGGAATTCAATGTACGGTTGAATAAGAAAAGCTTATTATATTTAGGTGCGACGAGGAAAATATTAATTTTGTGAAAAGTACAGATTCAACAAATAATAATATTTAAGAAGAAAATTGGAATAAATTATCTCATAGCTAGATCGTGTGATTTTTCACACATATTTTAACTAGGAAAACTAGAAATACGTAACTAAATAATAAAACAAATATATTTAATTATAAATTAATAAAAACTATATCCAGTGGTAAATATGAGTCTTGTGCTATATATTGAGAAACAATTTAAAACTCTTGCAAAAGCAATTAATATTCAGAGACGAGTCGAAATAATATTTTGACCTAAAGGGACATCTGTTTTAAGCTATGAGATTTAAAATTTTAATGTATCAACTATCTCTTATATTTCCATATCGAAAATAGTGGTATTTTTAAAATTAATTTCGGTATTAATAATGCCAAAAATTTAGACAGCATACCGGTTTTTCGGTATACCGATATCACGTCCTCTAGCTACAATTGTAATATTAATTGGCAACTGTATGTTTACTGCTGTTTATTTTGTACTAATATGAATATATACGTGTATATATATACACATTTATATCTAAATATGTATATATGTGTTATAATGAACGTTATAATTAAGCATAATGAATTTATTCCCATGAGATTATTAATTGCAAAAGCGGCTACATGTAAGACAAATGCGCCACTATAACTCGGTGCGAGGACTCGTAAATTATATTTACAACGAAATTACAAAGGTCATATTTCATTTAGAAAATTTAAAGTAAAACGTTTTTTGTACGTCTGGAGAACTAAATGTTAGTTTAACACAAGTTTTAACAACACGCAGAAACATTTAATAGAGAAAAAAATATAACAACGGTCAGCAAAAAACACTCGCGTTAAGCAAAATGTATAAATTGAAGTTTATCCAATTAATATTAATAAGTAATAAGAAACCTAGTACATATCTTATGATTATTAGAAGATGGAAATTAAAAAAAATAGACACATACCTCTGGATTAGTTTCTCCATGGACGGTACAGGATAATTGAGCTTCATGTCCTTCACCAGCATGTACCCATGATCTATCTACTGTAATTTCTGGTGGGGCTGGAATAAAAAAAGATTACATATATACATCTTTAAATATATAAAAAATACATAAATGAGTTGGATGACAATAATTCAAAATCATACAAGTTTAACTAAAATCAATAAGTTTCAGATGAAATTGTAGATTCCATTCAGTAAAAATTCACTTCAAGATTTCTGTGACCTCAATAGTTATTAGTAAAGTTGTTACCTGTCTTTGTACATTTTAGAAAGTGTTAACCACACTAAAATAAAAAATCTCCACAAATAGAGGAAAAATATCTGCTGGGTTGACTTCTAATAGTTAGGTACTAGATTTACCAAAAACCTGTAGAGGTTAGTACCGACTGCTAGTAAAAAAATAAAATTATATTAATAATAGTATGCCTTATTATGCCTTTGTAACTCAAAAATATAAAGTTAGAAAAAAATAATAAGGAATTACAAGACTATAAGATATATAATTATATCTACGATTTATAGATATATTTTATAGATATATTTTTTTACATTAATTGCAAAATGTTTACGTAAGCATGGGGGTAGGGGGTAAGAGCTTTGCTTACTTTTGCTGACAAGGGGGATGAGGGGTAAATAATTGTAATAAATCTGCTTACGTAATACTTGAACGATCCCTTAGTATTGAATTTAGAATGAGCAGATGAATTTTATAAAGGAAATTCTTATAGAAGAAGTAGCTTTGATCGCTGTTGTAATATGTTGTAAAAAAATATTGTTATCAATAAAATATTACCACTTTTCCTCATTTACTAATGGCAAATTTTCAGTAATCCTTTTATACCTAATAAGAATTTCAACCCCACCTGTCCCTTATCCCTTACCTGTGCCCCTTCCCTTACCTGTCTCAAACTAGCGCATGATATACGACTTCGGTTCGAATCCCTGTGCACGCTAACAAAACTTTGCCTCGAAACCATAAATAGTGATATGTAAATTTCACCTTACACAATGCGTAGCCCTGCATGTTTTGATAATATGTTATCCGTACACGTGTAAAATGAACGGAATAAAATTTCGATATCAAATTACGAGATCGTTTTCCACAGATTTCAAGAAAATTAAAATCAAATGAGCGTGGCGATAGTGGAGGTCGTAAATAAATAAAATAGAATAACATCGCGAAATGTCATAAACGAGGTGGGTCGTTAGAATCATAAATGTTGTAGATTGGTGGATATAACACGGTAGATTTGTTGTGATGTTTTTTTATATAAGTTTTATTGCCGTGTTTTTGATAAGAGAAACGGATGGCCAGTTTGTATTTGGAAAAAAATTATGATGAACAAGAGTTCACTCGTGAGTAAGTGACTAGAACGACTAGACCTGAATCATAGGTTCCTGGTTCGAACCTGCTTTGAGGAGCCTGATGTCAAGCAGTAATGACATACGTTTTGGATCTTTAGCAATATGATTCCAAGTGAAAATAGCCCTCATACGGCAATGCTGCATCAATAAAATATCCGCCATATTACATAAATTGCAATAGAACAATTTACCACACAGAGATGAGACAACTGTTTTGGATACAAATTAGGCCAACAGCTTATAGTACTCTTAAGTTCTGGTTGCTATTTCAAGCAACAATAATATGACTACCGAAGAAAAGTCGGATTCATGGTATAAATTGCAAAAATTTACTAAATATGCAAACATTTGATCTACTAATTACGACACTCATTAAGCGCCGAAGTGAGAAAATAGAAGTGAAAATATTAATCAACATCTGATATTATCTGATATAGCTTGTGTCGAATATTATATCTTATATAGAAAAATATATCGCAAAATGTGATAGTAAGCGCATAACTTAACAACGCCTGGACCAATTTGGCCAATTTTTTTTAAATGTTCGTTGAAGTCCAAGGATGGTTCTTACGGCAAGAAAAAATTGAACAATTGCCGGGTAAACCCTAAAAACAACCCTTTTCTTTTTCACATACAAACGTTAGTATTTTCATATTTTTGCCATCGGATACGGAATATTTACTCAAGTCAATGGAGCGTTTTGGGTCTGAATTTTCTTACTGTGCTCCAATTTGTATGAAATTTTGAAATTTGGTTTAGACTGTAACTGTATTGAAAAAGCAAATGCTCATCATTTCATTTAAAGCAGTTGTACATTTATGATCCATATGGGTGGATGTATATACATTTCGGTAAAGACTGTAGTGTAAAAAAACATAATAATTTTTAACTAATTGGTAAATATCAGTATAGGTAATTAAAAATAATTGGAATTTTTGAATTGTAAACATAAGTACAGGAAAATGTCTGTTGGGTTATTTAGTTTATTATATATACAAGGAATTTCTATATACCATTTTAAGTAATTTTTCACTAACAAACTACAAAGTTTATACAACTAACTTATACTAGAACAAAATTAAAAAATTGTAGAAAACTAACGACAAAATTGATGCTTATTAATGTATCTCGCAGAAAAACTTTTGTTAAGCAAATAAGCCAAAAGCAAACTGAAAGGACGGCAAACAAAGTTATACACATCCGGGCTTACCCAATAAATATTTAACTATATAGTCGATAATTAGCTAGTTGTTTATTGAGAACTTTTCAACGGTATATATTCAGACAAACGTAAATAGAACGAGGCAAACTTATTACATTATTGACTTTGCATAAAATATGAATTCACCCCTTTCCTTGTAACTGATCGAAATATTACTTCAGATAATTACAGACATTGCAGTGTATACATTCGAGTGAAAAATATATGAATGGATGAAAAAAATAACTTAGATAAGTATATATATATATATATATATATATATATATTCATATATACCTATAATTTAATTTGTAGTTTTAGTTCAAGTATTAAACTGCTGAATTAACAAAATAACCAAGTGTTCTTGATCTATTTCTCTGCACGTGTTATCTTTCAGACGACAGAATTAACCAAAACTTGAAATTGAACGTTTGAATTATTTTTTAAATTATAGCAGTGAAGCACAATAATACATATTCTAAGCAACCAACTATTGCAACTTTTTTCTTATAAAATCTCGTAGTTTCAACAAAGTTTTTTTTTAGTCTATGACTCAAATCGACTAAGTTCATAATTTAATCGAACCTTAGAGTGCTGTGTATACGGAAACTGTATCCTCTATTAAAAAAACACATAACCTTTTCAACGAATGGAATTTGTTATCTGTAAGCCGCCTTTATTCCAGTGCACATTTAAGTTTGTCTTGGCAGAGAGCGCTTGTCTTTTTGTTTGCATCTTTGCGTATTTCCATTCATCTCGTTATACCAGAGTAAATACAGAGAGCTTAGAGGGGTATAAATAGAACTATTCAATACAACAAAAGCACAAAAGCTCTACTTTTATAATATTCAGAGTTTTATGATAAAGGATTGATTATTAATATAAAAGGTTACAAAATTACACTGTTTTTTCAGGATCACAAAACACAGACAGCTTCATAAAATGTAAGGTCTTTCTCCTTATTGAACAATGACTCATAAATTAATCTGAGACAAAAACTATAATTTAAAATTGGATTATCAGTTATCTGAAGAAATTTTATGTTCCCTAGAAGTTTGTAGTCAAGCTAAATCGTTTGTTGATGTATATGCATATGTGAGTAAAAATTTGAGCTTTCGTCGATGTCTTTTCAAAAAATTGCAATGATTTTAAAAATTTAAAAAGCCATTTAATTAAGCTTGATAAGAACACGCGACCAAGCTAATTCTTTTTAACTAACTGAAAAGTGCAAAATATGTCGTCCACGTTTTAGCCAAAAATTAAAAACCGATTTTGAAAAATCAAGAAAAAAATATCAGTTGTTGATGAATTTATGTATGATAAAAGAGCTCATGATCTGAACGAACACCATAAAATGTTATAGGCCTACGAAAAGTGTCTGTCAGAATTTAAAAAAATCTAAATAAGTCTAAAATTCTGTAATAATTTAAAAAAAAAAAAATTCATTGATTAAGTTCTATTCTAGTAGTAGCATATGTATGGAAGTTTTTGCAACTTACATCAAGACAAAATGCGACTTTAGAATGTCAGATATACAACAAGCTTAACAAAAAATTAAAATACGTTATTTAAAATTTATTCATAATGTGCTTTGCAAATTTAAAATACCATCAATTAAATAATATAAATGTATATGTACACATGTATAATGGGTAGTACAGCCTTAGGTCAAAACCGTGAGCTGAGTTAAATTCTAACACGAATCAGGAAAGTACAGTATGAGAAATTTCCCATTGAAATTTCACACCACAGTGCACAAAATGGGCTAATAACGTATTTTTGATCTATATTTTCAAGTAAAAATGAACATCGCTACTGCACGATATCAGGTTGTCCGAAGCGGGGACTCGACCTCGCAACCTCAGGCCACCGTATTAAACTGTTACATCATGGAACACCCTACATACATGTATATACATTCATGTATAAGGGTGGTCCTTAATATGGATATTTTCGAATTTTTTTGCTCCTAGGAGCTCAAATTCCTCCAAATTGATAAAAAAAATCTCTTAAAGTTTTAAGTATTAATATTAATTTTAAGATAGTGTGCATTCCAACCAAAGATTCTTATAAAAATAGCATGGATAAATTTTCATTTAGTTTTTAGAATTTTCTAACTTAGCGACAAGTGAATCAAAATTTTGAGAATAACATTGTATGTGCTTATTTTGATTATAAATAAAAAAATACGACAAAAAATTGATATATTTTATCAAATAAGTATTTACTTAGAAAGAAGAACCAGGTAACTTTAGCTTACTTAAAGTTAATATGCTAAAACTAAACCTTTCAGAGATTTTTTTTATCAATTTGAAACCATGAGCCCCTGGGAGCAAAGAAATTCAAAAACATCCATATTAAGGACCACCCTAATGTATATACACACCTAAATGATGTGTATATATAAATATCAATTATATTACCATAATGATATATTTTAGCAAGGCCTATTATATAAATTATTGTACACAGCATATATATATATATATAT